CATTAACAAAAAGTTTTAATTTCTATAGATTAAAGCAGTTCAATCTGAAGCTCATTAATTTTTAAAGTTTGGTTTTAAATTACCGATTCACTAACTACTACCAATGATATTATTTTGCAAATATGAGAAGCAAATTCATGCTGCAAGTTTCGACGAGGCGGACATTAAATTTGCAAATGAAAAAATACAATTTTTCAGAAAATTATTTAGAAAGAATAAGTACGAATCAGCAAATCAGTCGTAAGTAAAACAACTTGCAGATTTTGATCTATTACAATTGATAATTTCAAAAACTAGATCAAAATGTTATCTATACAAGGAAATTACTTGTTTCGATGCCCTGTCGATTCACAGAAGCCAAAATGATACGTTGGGGAGTTGCATTCATTTCCAACGTTAACGACTGAGACAGCTCGTCCGTGTCTGCAAAAACATTTCTTGACTTCTACTTTCCTACAATATTTCCGAACAATGTCCTTCTATTCCTGTCACTTAGGAATGATTCATTAGTCAGTGTTAAATTCATTTACCTACTAAACAAGCAGATCAAACAGTCTGATAATGATTGCAATATGCAGAAACAAAATGCATTTTATTCAGATAAAATTTATCAATTGATGCAGTTTATGATAGATATTCTGATGTCCATCAGAAAATATATACAATTTATTGAAAATTCTGTATGTTATTAGCTATCATGTGACTACTGCACTTAAGAACAAACTGCTGGAGAAAATTCATCAGTTTATATGCAAGTGATTGAATCAATAATTTTTCACATTTACTTACTTTTTTGGCCTAATATTATTTGTGTCAACTTGTAACAAGTAGTTACAAGTAAGATCAAGATGTTTTAGGGGTTTTGCTAGGCATAAATCTGTATCCAAATGCGCTAATTCGTTATTTGAGATATCGAGTAACTGCAACAGAATTCATCTAAGTAACTCATTAAAATGCTTACTTGAATAAAACATAGGGAACTGTATATATTCAGTCATTTCAAATGATTTGATTTCAGTTAGACAGTTTTGCTCTGAACTGAATATTTGCAAATTAAAGTGTAGCAATCTGGTTGGTACACTCAATGTTTCCATCGAAAAGTTGCATACCATAAACCTACTGCATGTCATAAGTCATTTGTTCCTTGTGAAAAATAATTTTGGTTCTATGTAAAAGCATTTTACGAACTGATAGTAGTTGCATATAGTAATAATGAATTGAGTTAGTGATGACTTTCAAATAGAAATTTAACTAAGCTATGGAAAATTATTATTATCATTATTATTGCTATAATTATCATGATTTTAATGGAATAAATAGGCGCACAAATAACTGCGGTGATTGAGATAGATCAGGAACTGTTGTTATGTCGTTTGAGTGTACTCGAAGAGACTGTAAATTAGGTAATTCTCCAAATGTGGCTGAGATCGAGATTAAGCAATTTGCTGCTAAATTTACTTCTTCTAGTGCTATTAAGCGACGTAAACAACTGAAATTATATAAAATTTCTGCAAAAATTAATTTAAATATAATTTAGTAATGCAAGATTTTGTATGATATTAATAAAGTGATGAAAAAGCATTTCACAAAAAGCATGAACATGAAGCAGTACATGAATTTACTTGATAAATAAAGTAAAAGGCCTTTCTTGGCAACAAATTTTGCTCAAAATGTTTATTTTATTACTTATTATTTGATAATAGCCATTTCCATTTTAATCTTTATCAAATAAAGATTGAAATGAAGTGATTCTTTATATAGAATTAACATTGATTGCGATTTGAAAGCAATACACCCTGAAAGAGGTTGATTTACCTATCATCAAAGAATTTTAATTGATTATACGAAAGATCCAGAATCCTTAAACGTCGGCAGTTTACTACAACGCTAATAACAGTTTCGTCTAGGAGATTACTAGCAGCTCGAAGAATTTGCAATCTGTTGAGATCAAGCATAGTGTTTGCTGGCGGTAATTTTTTTAATCGATTATAAGAAACATTCAAGTTTTTCAACCTAAAAATTATAATCAGGACAATGATAAAAATAGTAATTAAATTTGTTGCAAAATTATTACAAGCAAAATATCGTGAAAAATAATGGAGGCAAAAATGCTAAAATAATTAGGAATAATTAATAGACAATTCTAAACTAATTAGACTAATTAGTCTAGAAGTAATCGGATCCAGTTCTTAGACTAATTTCTTTTTTAACACTTGGGATCACAGATGAATAACATTTGCAATGTATTACCAATAAGCACTGAATTTTAGCTTTGATTTTTTAGCAGTGAAAACTTTTTTAATTCAAATGACTGAAGTAACTCATGATGGTAAACTTACTTATGTGCTGCTCTTAGCAACTGATTGGGTAACTCATCAATCCGATTACTGTACAGTGATAAAATTTCCAAAGAGCAGTTTTCGATTACTTCAGGTAAGCGTTCAATTTGATTGTGATGTAAGTATAAGTTTTTTAACTTGCTAACATTCATAAAAATTCTGTAAGCAAAATTTTAAGTTTACTGATATTTTGTTAAAAAATTAGCAAAAAATTAGTCTGATATTTTATTACTTTTTTCAGATTAATTAAAAGTGTCCTTTGTGAATAATAGACTAACTCTGTCTCAACTTAATTAAATCTTTTGTTTTCCAAGCAGTTTATGAGAAATTAACCTTTGTGGCAAATATGTGATCAAATTGTGATGAGCAGAAATCGTTTCAATTTGCGGTAAATCAGTGAGCCATTCTGGAAGCGAAGAAAAATGATTGTGAGCGATGGAAAATACTATTAGTTGCACAGGTACTGGCATTATGATTGCTTGCGATAAATCTGAAAGTTCAAAAAAGTACTTTAAGCTGATTAAATGACCGATAATTATTTTGATAATTGAGATAAAGAATGAGGAATGATGTGTTGGTCAGATAGGTCAAGTACATGAAAAAGCAGAAATATCAAAGTTGAGTCTTTTGTGTAAATTAATCAAAATTTTTGACTGCGAATTCTTTTCCTAAAAAGCATTTTATACTTGCAATTTAATCTCGAAAAGTTATTTATGCCATTTAGGTGATTTCAAATATATAACTTTTACAGAATCAAAACACGCACTATTTTTCTTCCTTCCATCCGAAATAAAATTTGAATCCAAAAAAATGGCATCTTCAGTGCAAATATCTTATACTAAGATTCATGTTATGGTGTATGATCTTTTAGGATTAAAAGTGGTTCAGTAGCAAATTTACCATTATGATCGGCATATAAATATCTCAAATTTGTTCCGTTCACTTGCAGATTTGTCAGTTGTAGCCTTTCACAATGTATTGTCTAGAATAACTGTAATAAATTTACAGGAAATTTACTGTAATAAATAGCAAATAAAAAAAAAATTGCAAAAGTATGCAAAAATATCAAAAAGTAAAACAAATGTCGACAATGTGAGCAAAATTTGATGAAGAATTGATATATTTGTAAGAGCGAAAATAAAATTGAAACTAAATATGTTTATCCTAAGAACTTTATTTTCATAATAAAAGATGTGAATTTAAGTTTGAGCACTTTTCTCCCAAAGCAGTTATTACTTTCAACACGTCTGCCATATAAGTACCGACCTGTACGGTTGCTAAATTAGTCAGATCCAATTCAGATAAATTTACGTTGTCACGAATATCCAACTCTGTTAAAACGCAGCAGATGAATGATGTTAGTTGTACTGCTCTAGAATTAAAATATAAAAATTAATCTTCACATTCTCACAAATATGCAAAAAAATTAATTAAATAGATACAACTCAAATTATTTACTTAAAATCAAAGTGGACATAGAAATAATGATTCGATTAACAAATAAATTGTACTTTGATTATTTTTTCCGCGTTTTTTAAAGTCTTGAAGAAAATCTGAAATGTAAGAAAGAAAAAGAAAGAAACAGAAACAAATACTTTTAGAGATTTTTGTGAATTAAGCGTAAACGATTGCAGTATAATAATTTTCAATGGCTAGAATGCGCTTATTTTTGTTGGTGGAATTACTAATTATCTATTTTGACTAAATTTCAAGTATTAGTGAAACTAATTCTGAACATTTCTGTCAAATATAAATTTTATTTCATATTTAATATTTAGACTTTGATGTGTTAAAAATTCTCAAGTTTGCAGTAAACCGTATTAAATTATTTCGACGCAAGTCAATTTTCTGTACGTGAATGCACGGCAGTGATTGCAGTGCTGAAGAAGTGATGTTGTTACCAGCCATTTCAAGATGTGAAACTCGTTTGAGAGTTAAGAAGACATCAGGAATCTAAAAAATAAAGGATTCTAATAAAAAACATTGAATGTCTTATTTTTCAGTAGTCATTTTCATTATAAAAAAAGTTTTTTTCTGTGACAAAAATTACAAAGTTTTTGACCTTTTTGGTGCATTTGAAATATATCTTGAAAACTGACACTAAACTAAAAACTTTTCATTTCTGTGCTGATTTTTCTAATTAATGTTAATTACTAGCAGAATTGTTGTCAAAGATCAATAACATTTACTTGATCAAAGCGATTGAAGCTTAAATCCAATTTTGATAGTAATAGGCAGCGCGAAAGTTCGTTTGGTATTGTTTTTAGCCAATTATTGCTCAAATTTAATGATGTTAAGCTGAAAATAACGCAAGTAGCATAAAATTTCATCTTAATTTTTTGTTTTTAGCATATCGAAACTTTGGGAAAAAATTCATTAGAAGATGAAACCATTTGACTGATCTGACTTACTTAGTTAACTCTCCCATTTGTAATGGAACTGAAGTAATTCGATTACCAGAAAGTATAAGTTCGGTAAGATTTTTAAGACATGTAACAGCATTTGGAAAGTGATAAAGTGAGTTATCAGCAATATTCAATGAGCGTAGAGCATGCAGTCGTCCCAAATCATCAAGCCAACCAAGCAGTGAACTTCGAATCTTTAATTTTACTATTCATAAATTTTGCAAAATATAATCGTTTGAATATAATGTTAAAGAGGTAAACGTCTTAATTCAATCGTTTAACATGTTTTTGAGACATTAATTTGTTTTCATTCTATGAACTTGAGCTTGAACTTGATCATTTATAAGATTCTAAATCAAGTATCATGTCAACATGGGCAAATGTTGTTTTTCAGTTAGTGCCAGTTCCTTACAGCTTACGTTGGGCTTAATTTTGCCAAATTTTGCATTTTAAATTTATTTGATGAATCTGTGCTTATTTTTCATAGTTTTCTCAAAGCGATTTTCATACAGACATTCGAAGTTTCCATAATATAGTCAAAAGATTCATTTCTGTGTTGAGTTAAAAGATGTTAATTGTACTGTTTTAGAATTGAAGTATAGAAGTAATGTTCACATTCTCACAAATATCCGATAAAAAGTTGATTAGATAAATACAAGTTCAATGACTGCCTCAAAATCAGAATGGACATAGAAATAAAAATAAGTATAAGTGATTAAGGTAAAAGTATATTTACTGTTGTAATTGACAGGTGATTATCATAAAAGATAACAGAAGAGGGCGAAATCGCAATTTTACTTGATATTGCCTTTTAACTTGCTTAATGTGCCTAGAATAATTTTTACTGTTTGCTAATAGTTTGGAAATATCAAGAATACTGTTTAATGTCTACTAATTTAATTTAATTTTAAAACCAAAGAGTTAAGACCAGATGGTTTTGAACCATGCTTATTTTAGCGTTGTTTGCGTAAATAATTCCATCTTCTATTTTAAACCAAAATTTATTTGTTGTTCATTGAAAGTCTGCAGTTTAGATGCGAATTTTGTCAGCATTTTGCTGAACTAAGAATATTTGTGGTAACCTGAATTCTTGATTTTTTCACATCTTTCTAAAGTGTCACTCTTACAATTTGATGTACTTTATTTGCGTTTCATCCATGTTCCATTTCACTAATATTGTGATATTAAGAAAAAATATCTATCAAGAATATCTGAATTTTTCTGCTGCTTGATGCAGTCAGTATTATCCGAAAATTATTAAATTAGCAACGTAAGGTTCTAAATTCAAGCAATTAAACTGACCTGATTTTTGGGACGAAATTGTAACGAATTTCTACGTAAATTCAACGTGGAAACCTGTCGATTCACATTTACTGAAAATAGTTCATCCGGTAGTAGCAACAGGCGATGATCACTTAAGTCGCAACTTGGTGCTATCTGAGTCTAAAACGACTTTATCACGTCATGTGTTTCGAAGTCTACTTTTTAATGATTTTTTGAGATAATATTATAATATAAGCTGTTATAGTGAAAATAACTTAACAAATAAAAGTAATTTACTTGTAACAAACGAGAAAACCACAAATTCATTTCACCGATTGCATCAAAATGTAAACAATAAATGTTAGAAGAATCTGTAAGTCGTAAATACTTCCCACGACTTCCTTCTGCCACATCTGTACGGTATCGACTTAGCAATAGAATCTCGTCATCGGCATTTTCTAAAGACAATAATTCACACTTGCTTTGAAATACTATGCTTACTGACTGATTGATACTAATTTGCATCAGACATTGTAATTGAGTACTAATCAATATTGAGTACATAACGATATCATTCATTCAAATTAACATGTACAAATTTTTAAGGTCAAGTTGTATTCTTTGCATTTTGAACAATTTTTATTTTTAAACTGTTTAAATCCTTTTTGAGACTCTTTTCAGATTATATTTGCTCATTCAATTTTTCAAAAAATTAAATAATTTAATCATTAATCTTTTCAGAATAGAAACTTTTTGGCAATTTACAAAAATTTGAAAACCAAATTTATTCAGAACTAATTATTTATAGAAATCAATTTCACGTAAATGTAATCAAGTCAATTGCATTTGAATAATATTACTTTTTTAATGACTAAATGACAAATTTTTAAAGACCATATTCAATTCTAATTGTTCCATTATAAAGCGTACAACGGCGTTTGCTCCATTTGTGCAATAATCTACCTTTGCGCACATCACACCATGCTAATAATATTTCTCTTGACGCTCTCCCATCGGTTGCTTGTTCAGGACGACCTAAACAATTCTAAATGATAAAGTAGTAAACTAAAAATATGCACTGTACACGTTACTTATCACTCTTTTAGCGGACAAGTATTGTAGTAAAAAGTTTATGCGAAAAAATGAGGTACTTATCTTAACTATCTGTAATTTGTGGCAAATATTAATAATAAAATAATGAGTATTCCAATTCAGACATGATAAAGTATAAAAACTACTGAACTACTTTTTCTGAACTAATTTATTTACCTATAAAAAAGCAAAAAATATGCGTCAAATGTGTTGCATCGCCAGCATTCATACATTCTGCTTTTGTTTCTCGTCCGATATTTGACAGAATTTCATTTTGTATGTGAAGAGGTCGCTCTCCTGTTGCCAAACTTCTAAAAGTAAGATTTTTATGACAGAAACAAACAGTTGTGAGAAAAGTTTTAGTATTTAATTTTTTAAAATTTCAGACAAAATTGGAACTGAAAACAAAGTTTCGATTTTATTTTCGATGATAAATTGATTCTGACCTTATTCTGGACCCACCAATTTGAAGATAAATACTTTCAAAGCCCAAAACAGAGCAAATATCTTGAGCGGTTGTTGCAAGTGTTACCGGATATACCAAAGAACGAGTTCCAACTGGAGCATATAATCTTACAAATCCATGATCTTTACCAGACTGCAGCCATTCTCGTTTCCGAACACTTGTCAGACGTTCAAGTTTCGCTAGTTTACGCTTAAATTAGCGTTTACAGCTTTATTATGTTAGGCTTCTATAAAAATTGCAGAAAGTTTGAAAAATTAAAGTTTAGAAGTTTGGTGTAACACAGTTAAAAGCTATTAATTTTTGGCCCCTAAAATATACTCATTCTAATTATATTCGTCCCAAAGGCTTAAAAATTCAAATTTGAAAAATATTACAAAACATTTAGTCTATTGCATTTTGCAAAGAGCTCAATAAAATCCACGGAGAAATTTCTAAAAAGTTACGAGTATTAGAAGAATGTTGAGAAATCCAGAAGTCACCTACTTTAGAAAATGTTTCAAAATTTGCCATTTGCAGCGTTGTTGCTAAAAGTTTGTATTTTTCAATCTGCTTTGAAAAGTAAATAACGTCGGATCGAAATAATAAGTGAGCATTGCTTTAATAAATTAAATATTTGCAGTTTTGAAGAAAAATTGATATTTCACGTGTACGATGGATCGATCTTTATACTGAGCTACCGATCAGTACTGAATGAATATTTGAACAGATAGAGTTAAATTCTGTTTGCTTCTGAATGAATAAAATATTTTCATTAAAATTAGTTAAAAATTGACATATGTATGAATCAAGTTGTCGATTTCAGATAATTACACTGAATAATCATATCAAATTTTGAAAATCAATAAAGCATTCAATAGTTGAACTGAAAATTTTAATAGATTAATAAAATAATTTCAGAACATAATATTTTAAGCAAAAATAAAACGCATCGTAATTAGATTAAATTGTCACAATTATGAAACAGTATGATGATAATAAAGTAAAATAAGCAATGTGATTATAAATGGATAAAAATTAAAATAATTACGAGCTTAGTTATTACTAACTACAGTAATGGTAATTACTTGAAATGGATTATTCATCGACAGACAGCAAGAAGAGAGCAAATTAAATATTTTGAATGTGAAAGAAATTCTTCTATCTATCCACTGATTGAATGCACAGAAAGTGGAAAGGACAATCATATTTACTACGTATAATTATTATTTGTTGACAATGATGACGATGATGATGATGATGATGATGATGATGATGATGATAATGGTAGTAATGATTTATTTAGTAATAAGTATAATTGTAGAGTATAAAAAGACCTCAAAACATACCTATCCATAAATTAGAAACAGTGAAGGTAAAGGAAATAAAAAGATTGTATATTTTTTGAAAATTTTTTTGGTGTGTGGACAATAAAAGTTTAGGCTGAATGAAGCAAATCGAAGTTAATTAATAAAGTAAATGTGCTTACCATTCAAACCTGATCTAAAATCAGTAAAAAAAATATGACTTGATTCAATTTTTATTCCTTTTTACGCGATTTTTGAGCCAGTGAACTAAGAACATCATTTTGATCTTGAAAACACTACTAAATTATTCATATAAAAATGAATTCCACTGACTTTTTATTGTTTTTTCTTTTTTTTACTTATTCGATGCAAAATTTATGCAGGACACATTTATGAAATGAGCAGAATAGTAGAAACTCAAAAAGTTTTTTTGAATATGAAAATTTTCGAATTTGCTTTATTCTAAATTTCTATTATTTCGAATGATAGGAATTTCCATAACTGTCATAAATCTCTTAGAGTCCTTTCGGAAAGCACAACAAATATGACTATTTTAGCTGAAATTTGGAAGACTTACGTAACGTGATTGACTGGCAAGTATTATTTTCAGCAAATAATACATAATTTCCAAACTTTTTAAATTAATTTACAATTATTAAAATAACCATTACTTTACGACATTATGCAATATTATTCGCATTTCTCAAATATTTCTAAAATCACATTCAAATTTTTGCTTCGATCTAATAAGTTTTTCATTTTACTGCTTAATAAACAAAAATCACGCTGCTCAAAGTGATTTTGATTCTCTTTGAAAATAATAAAATAAAATTAATTATAAATTAAAGTTTACAAAAATAAACACTCTAAAAATTAGCAACAAAATTGATTTTTTTTAATTGCAGTGAAAACTCTTAGGATTGATTAAGCTAAGTGCTAACAGCAAGAATTCATAAATGGAATTATGGCAAGTATGTAATATTTTGTACGATGAAATTAGATGCAAAATTTTCATATGCAAAGTTACTGACGATAAATTTGCTTAAAAATTATATTTGTAAAATGTATGCATCATTGTAAAGTACTGAAAGCAATGTCAGTTGTGAGAAAGAGTAGTCCATCGCAGGGGACGAGTTCAGAAGGGAACATGGTAGCACCTCAAGCAAGTGAAGGCTCCTTCTTGGGCAAGTTCTTCAGAATGAAGTACTGGCTGACGAAGAACAATCCCGAGCCAACTCCTCAAATGTACATTGCTCTAAATCATTACATTTTTTTTCACGAATTTTTTGCATTTTGCATTCTCAGTTCATTTTGTTTTTGCATTTTTTTCTATTTTTATTTTTTTTCAAACTAATTTGCTAAAAATGTAATTAAACAGTGTAATTTAGAAATTACAAAGATAAATGTTAAAAAGAGAGCCTTTGATTGAAATTTATTCAATGAATAAACTTGCATTTGTGAAGAAGAATATACAAAGTGAATTGCCTTAGCATTTTATAAAATAAAAAAATAATTTGATGAATTGTAAACTGAATTAATTTCTTGTAAATTATAGTCTGCCGGTGGTAATTAAATTTAAAAATAATTTACTAAATTACTAAATTTATGAAAGTAAAACTTTCAATAATTTAATATTGCTTTCTTCACATAATGAAAGAAATCTTTGAAAATACTTTAAAAAATCATTTATAATTTTTGTAGTACAAAAATGCAGTTACCAGTGAACAAATCCCCTCTAAGTCATTATTCGTGGGAAGTGGAAAGCAATGAAAGCAATGCTAATGCTGTTTTTAAGTCAGGTTATCTAACCAAAAAGGTCTGGCGATTTGGCCGATCTACTAATTATTTCATTCTCTACAAAAGCGGCAAATTTTGTGGCTACAAAAATCAAGCAAGCGCGGAAGATTTAAAAAAATGCAAAGCATTTACATTTGTTAAGGTTCTGTAATCGCATTTTATTTCTCTTTTTATTAAAAAAAAAGTTTGATAGCTTTGTTAAGAACTTTTCCCGCTGCTTTATGATAGAATTAAATTAGTTTAATCTTGTATGTCGCATCAAAAATCATACAAGATAAACTGAATTTGGCTATGTAATGGTGATCATAAAAATGTTTCCAGTCATAAAATGCAACAATTTTAAAATTAAGCAATCTGGCAGATGATTATCTTACACTAGAATTTATAAAAAGCCATAAGCTAATTTAAGTATGAATTTTCAGGATGTTTACATCATTCCTCGAGGATTGAAATCATTCATGCTCTACACAAATAAAAGTGTTTGGTATTTAAAGGCAAAAACGAATGATGACCGCAATGACTGGATTGAAAAGCTTCGATTTGCAAGGTTTTATGGTTTTTTCACTGAGAATTAAATAATTCTTAATTTTGATTTGGTTTAGCTTCTCGTAAATTTAATTAACTTTCAACGACAAAACTTAATTCAGACGCAAATAATGTCAGTAGATGGAATAGCAGACATTTTCGTTGCCGTTCCTTACTAAATAAGTTACCTTTTATGATAATATCATATCTGAAGAAATTAGCTTCGCTCTTCATTGAAATAAGCTAATACTTAACTTTAAGATTAAAGGTAACTTATTAATGAATCATCGTTCTATTTTGAGTAAATAGTAGTGATATTTATGCGCACAAAATAGTTACACAGTAATGTCAGTAGATATGATAATAAAATAATTTTATAAAAACAAATACAAATAAAGTACGTATTGAACAAGTATACCTTATCAATTAGATTAAAGGACAAATCCGTTCGAAAAAAAAAATCAGAATCATCAAAGATGGTTCAGCCTTCAGTTATGAAAAAGCGATTTATTCATAAGTTGAAGCAGAAATCATAAAGTATACTAATTCTGCTAGTGTCTCTAATTCATTTTTAATTTAGGGCATATCTGCGGATGAAAGATGATGAAGAGTTGAAACAGATTCTGAATTTTGCGTCAGTTCGTCAAAAAAATTCGAGTGCCTCAAAAATAATTAATGAATTGAACGATTCTTTACAGAGAGTGTGTGATAATTTGCAACCGGTCAATATTTTGCTACAGAATTTAGAAGTTTTAAGATTGCGCTCAAATTTTGCTCATTCCATGCAAACAAATAGCAGACAAAATATTTGGGAGAAAAAAAATTTGAAGAGTATTATATCTTTGGAAGAGTAACGCCTACCTAATCTTTATAGGCTTGATAAGCTTGAATCATTAATCAGCTGATCAAACTACATTTTTGTATTATTAGCCCTTGATAAGAATTTTACTTTTAAAAGTATTTAAGCTTGACGTTAAATTAAGCGATTTTCGTCATTCTCTTTTAAATGGCAAACCAGTGGACAAAGTTCAAGTCTCAGATCTTGATGACACATCACATAAAGTTTCAGTTGCAATTCAAAATACTTTAGAAGCATCAAATAGGTATTTTTTTACAGTAACACAGAATTCGATATTTTGGGTATAGAGCTGGAAATTGGATGCAAGATTCTAATTTAGTCATTTCAGTTCCTTCGGTCTTCTATATTATTTATTTCTCATATATGTGGCTGATTTACTCGCATCAGCTCTTCAACAGTGTATATTGATTTTTAATTTAGGTATTTCACGCATTCGAAATATTTGCAAAATGAAATGCAGCGATTGCTAAATGACTTACGCTATGAAACTGAGCAACGGTCTAATTTATTGCGTCAAATTGAACTTCAAGCAAAGCAGTTGAAATGCATTGAGAAAGAAGTACGAATGCCACAAACGCTTTATCTCTGTTTAGACTGTAAAATATTAATTCTCCAAGAAGATGGATACTATTTTAACAGTCTAAAATTTAAATTACTGAAATTTTTGCCATATCACACATTTTCAAATTTGGCAAGAAAATATCTAAAATGTTCAAATTTTTTCAGATTTCACGCTTGTTTTCAGTTTATAATCTGAATTAAAAATGTTAATTTTAAACTTTTAAATCAATATTAGACTTACTACTTTCAAAGATGTAAATTGAACTAAAAACTTCGTTCTATTCCCAAGTTTGGTACGGATTAATTAAATACTTTGATACCTTCGTAAAGATTGAAATTCGAGTGCACTCATTGCAGGCCTCACAACCAAAACCAAATTTTTCAACTGAAGAGCTTTCAAAATTAGATGATGCTATTGTGGATGGCAATCTTGATGAAAATGAAATAGACGTGTGAGAATTTACAAAGATTATTTTCAACCACAAATATTTTCTTTTCATTTGCACCTGACGGTTTTTTACTGAATAATTTTGACTGATATGAAACTATGATAGGTAGACCTAACAAAATGGCAAAACTTTTGATTTTAAAATTTGCTGCCAAAAGTTCATTACTAAATAAATAACAAATGAACATTAATTAAGCTTGCAATAAGCAAAGTTAATTTTGGAGAAAAAATCAGAATTGAATGGACTGAAGTAATTGAATGATTTGATTTATAGAGCGAAAAGTGGTAATTTCGAACAATCACATTTGAGTGAGACAGGAATAAGCGAATTCTCAGATGACCTTCAAACTGCTCGTGTGCGTAAAAAATAACGCTTTGATTTAATTTCATCACGTGTGAAATTCTACTTAGTGCTAGTCAATGTTAATAAGATTGGTAAAACAATTTTTCAAGTAATAACTTACTTAAGTTATCACATTTGATGACAAAGATTTTCGAGATCAGACTCTAAGCTATTGAACACTAGAACATAAATTTGGCATTGAGATAATTCGATTTTCAGAGTAGAGAAAAAACTGACAATCTGAAGACACCTGATGTATCAACGAGGTGAGCAAAACAAAAAATTGGAAGCTGAAATTAAATTGAAATTTTGTAAACATTATTCTATCATTTAAATAATTATTTTTGATGCAATCAGGATGAAAGTTTATCAGAAGGTATTGTCATGCATAGTAGTTTGATTCAAGCAATTTTATCAGAGAAATAAAATTCTGATTTCCAGAAAAAGTGAGAGAAATCTGGAAAAATGGTGGAAGCTACAGATTAATTCACCAGTTGTGTACATTAAACCAGAGCCAGTTTGCACAAGAGGAAGGTTAGTTTTTGATAGTTCCGTCAATAGAGTCACAATAATTTTTAGGTGATTTTGATTTGTAATGAAAGTTAAGTTTAATCTTGCAAAAAACTACAACATTCCATAGCAACTGCGCGTTTATTTCGCTAATTTAAAAAATTATAAATAAATTAATTATTAGTTAGATAACTTACGATTTTTTGTCATGTAAGTATAAATTTTAAAATTAAATCTATTACGATGTAATAATAACTGTGCAGAAACAAAGATGCAGTACGAAAACGAAGGTCGCAAATACCTCATCGCAAGAAAAGAGGTTTTTTTGCAAGTCATAATATTAAGGAAATGAAATTAATTTGTGGAAAAAATTCCTCAAAAAATTTCTTGAAAATTTGGTTTGTGAAAATGGAAATATATGCGATTAGAGAGAAAAACAAGTAATTTGCATTAGGTACTTTGTTGTGGTCATTTTTGAAGAATGCATTGGGCAAAGAATTGTCGAGAATACCATTACCTGTTGATTTCAATGAACCAATCAGTTTTATACAGCGCTTAACTGAATGTTTAGAATATGCTGATTTAATCGATAAGGCTGCTAAAATGACAGATCCAACAAATCAGGTTGTAAATTGAGTTAGAAAAAACTGATTTCAGTTATAAATAGATTAAAAAACAAGCAGAGAATCAATAAAGCAACAATAGAAGTAAACAGAAAGTAAATTGCTCCAACATCTTTGGAAATAAAATAATAGTACTTTTGAATAACGTTTTCGAAAAATCAAAATACAATCCAGATTTTTTATAATTATTATGAATATCAAAATTGAAAATATTTCTTTATAAAAGAAAAAAATTGGAAATCTGTTAAAGTTTCGGAATAATTAGAATTTTAATGCATAATTACAAGTAATAAAAAATGAACAAATAAATCATATTTATTGCAAAGTAATATTCAAAGTTATTGAAAATATGAAACGCAGGGATTATTGCCGTCTTGTGCAAGTGCTATGTGCTGTGATCGAATGAATGAATTCTCAAAAAAGCTTTCCAATCAAATAATTTTATTCATAACTCAATTATGCAATTTATATAATTGAGCCGTAATTAATTTTTGATTCTACAGATGATTAATGTCGCAACATTTGTAATTTCAACACTTTCAAATACGCCATTTCGCACATGCAAACCTTTCAATCCATTATGGTGTGAAACTTTCGAATTTGATCGAATGGCTGATCTTGGATGGCGATCTATTGCTGAGCAGGTAGAAAGTATCAGCAATTTTCGCATAGTCAAAAAAATAAACATTTCAAATTTTTATGCATAACATTAAAATGAAATAACAGATGTGAATTTGTTGATCAGTAAGTTTTTTTGTAAAGTAAATGGAGCTTTTTGACTACGCTCACCAACAGTTTATAATAAAAGTGGAAGAAGCTGAAGAAATTCATAAATAATAAATTCAGCTATTGTGAATAATTAGTGGAATAGAAGTTACAGAAATAAAGTAATTTAGATGAAAAAGTATAATTTATTGCACTAAACGTTTATATTCGTCGAAATCTAAGATAAGAAATTTTTATTAATAATTTGTTAATTTTCATAGTACTTTAATCGCCAGAGATAAATAGAAAATTGTTGTAAATATAAGCAGTCTTTTTATATCTATTTCAATTTTTGTTTGGCATAAAAATAAAAGAAAAATTCATGTGAGATATTGTAGTATTTATTCTGATATATCACAATGTAATTGTCATTAGAAGATAATAAAGTATTGGAATCTTCTTTTCCCTTAAATGAAACAACCTTAAATGAACACTAATTAAAATTGCAGGTTAGTCATCACCCACCAATTAGCGCGATTCATGCTGAAGGAAAAGGCTGGATTTTTGATGAAGACATGATTATACGCTCACAGTTGCAAGCAACAGCGATGAAAATATTTCCAGAAGGCACTGCTAGCATTTTTTTTATGGCAAGTTTTTCTTCAACTTTGATCTCCAGAAATATACTACATGAGCGTAAAATATCTTACATTCTCTTAAGTTCAACCTATTACTATGCTAATTTTTGAGTACAAACGATTTCTATGTTTATTAATACTGCAAAATAAATACGTTTATATTGATTATCATACTGTGGCTATTGGTGGATTAAAGGGAGATCCATTCACAGATAAACTTAAAGTCTGTTTTTATCCCTTAACAATGAAAATTATAATTTTAAAATAAAAATCTGCTGAGAGCAAATAATTTTTTTGAGGAAACTCAATCATTTTATTACTGGACAATGAAAGATATTAAAACATTTGTCAAAGGTTTCATTATTGGTCCAATTACAGTACAAAATGAAGGGCACTGTATTATCAAGGTTATTTTTGAAAAAATTCATCAGAAGTGCTTATTTGAGTGATTAAAAAATTCAATACTACAATTCACTAGCGATAAACCGAAACTCTTCAGAATGCAATTGCATTTCTGCTGTACCTTTTTCACGCAATTTATTCACTTCCTTCACCTCAAATATTTGTAATTATTAATTTAGTTAAATTCAAATTGTTTGAAGTCTACAAAACAATTTTTCAGAAGAAAATGTTAATTGTTCACATGAATTTTGAAGAGCCTTTGATATTTTGTGCAATATATTTGAAACGATTGTTTCTGATAATATGCATTTACCTTCTAATTTCCATTTTTTTTGCTAATATTCTACAAATTTTATGATCATCATAAGAATTTTTTTTGAACAAATACAATAGTTATCAAATATCGTAATCTGATCGCAAAGATTTACAAATTTGAATTTGTTCATTTATTTTATGCACGCTTTTTATTTTCATGAAAAAACAAAGTGAATTTCGCTTACAGAATCAACCTTATGGTGTCAGCTGCGTCCTTACTTTAACTCGCCACCGCTTTTTTTCATCAAGTAATGAACGAAAGTTTACTGGGAAAATATATGATCAGTGTGGAAAAGAAATATATCATTTATCTGGTGATTGGAGTCAAAAATGTGTTTTAACAGTACAGAGTGATAAAATTCAGGTGATTACTAATTCTAATGGTTATCAAAATTCTTGATAATTTAAAAAATTTGTTTAACATAAATTGCAAATTCAATGAATTTGAATTTTTTTACTGATTTTTACAAATCAACATAATTTTTTTTGGCTATGAATTTATTAAAAACATTATTATTAAAATCTTGCCGAAAATTGTTGTCCAAACCTTTATTATCTTGTAAAATTTGATGTCAATATATACGAATTATCTAATGGAAATCAATCAGCTATTTTGGACAATAAATATTACTTTATTGCTCACATGGCCTTTGTTGATATATCCACTCATGTCTGGAAGATCCGAATAATTTTTAAGCGATAATTTACGATTAGATTCTTTCTGTTTAAGCTAGGAATTAACTTGAAGACTTCAATTTAGATAATAGTTCGCATAATTTAGAATTTCACTTGTGCTAACCCGTCATTCTATCTCTTTCAGTTTTGTAATTGATAAGAATTCATTTGGGAGAACTTTTTCAGAAAGAGAAAGTTATTTGGACAAAAAAAATACCACCTAAAGAATCGGAGTTAATGTACAATTACACAACTTTAGCAATCGAATTGAATGAATTGGAAGTATGTCTTTAAAAAGACAGTAAATTACTCAATAAGAGCAAACATATGAGTAAATCTTTGTCAATTTTGAACAGCATTACAATTTTTGATTTCGAGCAAACAAAACCTTGGAAATTTCGAGTTTTAGCAATAAATTTGAGAACACAAAACATTTAAATCAGGTGAAGTAGACTGAAATTGTAGGAAGGTGTAGCACCAACAGATTCTCGATTAAGACAAGATATGCGTTTGATGGAAGAGGGCAATTGGGATGCAGCGAATGTGGAAAAAGAGCGACTCGAAGCCAAACAACGTGCTAACAATAAAAAATATCAGGTTTGGTTTTTTTTCTTCAACTATTAAGCTTTTTTACAAATTAATAAAAGTTTTCATACTATGAAGTTTGTCTTCAAAGACTTAGAAGCGAATTAATGTTTAAAGGATTTGCTGGAAAGTGGGGAAGTAGTAGCTCAACGACCACTTTGGTTCGAAAAACGTTTCGATAGTTGCGTTGGTACTCCTCGATACATCTACCAAGGGCAGTACTGGATATGCAAGCAAAAAAAAGACTGGTCTCGATGTTCAGATCTATATAGTAAAGAAAAGTAATTCTTCATGAACTATAGTGCAGAATCTATTTGTTATTGATCAGTTAATATCGTAGAAACTATCTTACAGAACAAAAAAAAACTCTTATAATCAAATTAACGAAACAAAAGTTTTTATCATATACAAACTTGCAAATGTTAAGAAATGATTTCATTTTCTGATCATTTGATGTTGTATTGAATAATATCAATCTTTTCAAAACAATATTTTTTCATTTTCGATTTTTGAACTGCCAAATTTCTAAGCCTGTTGTATTAATGAACTTACATTCGAAAGCAAAGTGAATTAAGTAAATGCATTTGTACGTAAAATATTTGCATTTGCTCGGTCTTTTTGACCCTAAATCCAAAGACTGAATTGTACTGTTCGAAGCATTAATTTTGCACTTAATTTTAAGTAAAATATTATGCTTGTATGTCACTCAAAAAAATTTTAATAATCAAAACAGTATTATTTGACTATTTTGCATATTTCCAGCTTGAATTTTATAGCTAAGATCTAGTTTTTTGATCATATATAAATGATGGATTACTATATAGTTATATTAGATTAGTTTTTCACAGTGTTTGAAGTCTGAAAATGTCCTTGGCAAAATTGATTTAAGAGAAGTTTTGAATCACTGATTTGGAATATAAGGTTATTGCCTAACTTTTTTTGATCTTATTATGCCGTACTCGTGATTTGGAAGTGTTGGGAATAAAAAATTAATTACTGAAGAATTTCTGAACGAGCAACACCATATAATTTGACCTCTGAAAATTGGAAATACATTATGTGTATACTGATGTTATAGTACCACCAATTTTTTTATCGATAAGAATCATTAGTAATAAAAGCTTATAATTAATTATTATTATTGCTAATAACTGGAAAACGAATTACAAGGAAAATTCACGAAACGCAGAATTAGTATTGGATAACTTTTAGTAACAAAATAACTTTTACATAATTTGAAACGTTATAAAACCATAAAAGCATTTATAATATGAATTAAATAACTCAAAAGAAATGCTTGGGTTATAGAATAATCTTCATAAATTTTTTAAACTTCACTGAAATTTATTACCTTACTTTAATACTAATACTAATTTCGATTAAGGCATGCTATTACAATGGCAACTTTTTTTAAAAACTTCTACATGTTCAGATATTAATCCACAATTTTTTTCAAACTACAACTTTCGTCTAACTTTCTGAACAATATGTCCTCCGAACTGTAAAATACAAAATATAATCCAGATTACATTCTGACTTTGTAAAAAAGAGCTTGACTATGTACATAATTATAACAATGATCAATTTTTAGTGCTTAGAAATTCATAAAATTATCTCAACTTTTTCTGCAATGCCCCACCAGTTGGCTTGTTCATAATGCAAATTTACCAAGCGCAAAGTTGGCACCATTGCTACCAAAGTTTTCAGTTCGTCCTGAATAAATGCTTTTCAAACAGTGTTTCAGAAATATTCTCCAAATAATGCTGAATTTCAATCGGTAGAATACTTTTATGACTAGTGCCTTCTGATGATTTGAAAATAAACATGAAAGATAGAGGAATTGGAATTTTATCAAAAGAACTAACTTTTTTAAAAACGTGATAAAACCGATAAATAGTGGTTTTCTGTACAGTTCTCAGTACTTCCATTAGTACCAATTCTAACGTTTGCTCTAGAAGTTCTTCACAGAATTGTTCAATTGAGTCGTACTGCTCGTTTTTGCACTTGAGGAAAGAAGCATTCCTTCCACTGATAGCTTTTGTTAACAGCTTTGAATATTTTTTGACTTTGACAAGAAATGGTAAACGTATAAGATTATTCAAAGTTTTAATCGAAGATGCATTGGAAAAAGATTTGAATTTCTGACAAATAGTATTGACCCAAAATTTGTCCTTAACTTTTTTGTCATCTTTCATAGGCAGTTTGAAGGCGATTGAATCCTGAAACGTATGGAAGAGGTAATCATAATAGTAATCTGTATTTATAGATCAGATGAAGAAAATACTGTTATCAGTGATTAATTACACTTTTTGAAAACATTATTTTAGAATATTTCTGAATCTATGTATGTAGAGATTGACGCTAAATTGCTAATCTAAAAAACTGTTAGAGATATGAACAACTAGAATAGATTATCTTTGATCTCAAATTTCTAAACTTTATGCTTACTCGTATTATACGTTCTTCTTTAGTAGAATGCATGTGGAATCGTTTCGATGAGATTTTATCTTAAATTTTATTGCATTAGATTAGTGTCTTGAATTTTTGATTCTTTCTCATGTTGCTATATAAGTCTGATATTTATCAGTCAAAAATTCCTTATTTTATTATAGCTAGCAGTGGTATCCATGACTGCAGTAATTTATATGACTTAATAGACTGAAATAAATATCATGCAGAAGCATGCAGAATTGTTTGATATTAATAACAGTAATATAGTGAGGTAATATATTCACCATCATAGTAATTTACGTGGGGTACGAGTACGTCCTGCGATGGAAATGACCCACTGGGTTGTTCGAATGCCCAAACGGATATGAGTACTTGCCCGCTATATAAAGATTAATTTACATAATGTAATCTTATTATTGTTTGATATTACTGATATTTCTTGCATATATTCAGCTTGAAAACAGCACTACTTCACACTATAATGATGCTGGAAATGAAGTAGATAAAGATTGCTAAAACGAATAAGACATTGTGAACATATTGAAAACTTTCTGATATTAATGACTGAAGATGATAATAATTAATTATAATATAGTAATAGTAATATACAATAATACATGTATATAATGATGCTTGAAGATGTGCAACATCTTTTTTTTTTGTTACATATATATATATATATATATATATAT